GGTCGACCTGCTACTACTACTGCTGCCTGATGCTCAACTATTGCTGCTGACTACTGCTCTACTGGCTACTACTGCAGTACTACGTTGTGCTGATGCTACTACTGCTGCTACTACTGCTGCTACTACTGCTGCCTGACTCTACTACTGCTTACTACTACTGCTGGCTATGCTACTGGACTGGCTGCTGACCACTTGCTCTACTACTGCGCTTACTGCGCTACACTACGCTGCGATGCCTACTACTAGGGCATGGGCTAGCTGACATGCGCCTATCTGTGGCTACTATGCTTGCTCTACTGCGCTACTGGCTACTCACTACTGCTGGGCTGATGTTATACTGCTGTACTACTCGCTCTACTCTACTAAGCTACTGATACTGCTGCTGATGCTACTACTTGCTGCTCCTTACTGGCTGTACTACTGCTGCTACTGCTAATCCTTACTGCTGCTGATGCTACACTTGCTAGGCTACACTGCTGCTACTGCTAGCTACTACGCTGCTATGCTTACTACTCACTATGCTACTACTATGCTGCTGATGCTACTGGCTACTGCTGCTGCTGATGTGAACGCTACTGCTACTGGCTGACTGCTGGCTGGTACTTCTGCTTCTATCTGGCTGCTGCTGCGCTGCACTGGTGACGCTACTTAGAACTGGCTACACTGCTGGCTACTATACTGCTGCTGCTGTGTTTGTCGTTGTTGTGGTTGCTGTTGTGTGGTTGTTGGTGTTGTTGCTGCTTGCTGCTACCACTGGCTGCTTGCGACTGTACTGCGCTGCTGCTGCTTACTGCTGCTGCTGCTGCTACTCAGCGGTTTCAGAGCTCTGCTGCTACCATACAGAAGAGCACGATTTTTATTATGATATAAAAGCCAAGAGGCAGGCATGATCAAGAATTTCGCTGGCTTCATGTATTATTAATTTACGTGACTGCCGTCCGATCTGGTGTGTTTTAGCGTAAAAATACAGCGAGGAAATCCAAAAGCATTAGAATAAGCTCAGTCCTTCCATCTCTTACCGTATATTCGTCCATCTTAAACACTGCGATGGCTAACTGCAAGCAACCAGCACATGAAGCGTTTCTCTCAAGACCAATTTATCATGCGATGAGTAGCAGTAAAGTCTGCTGAGTTTCAACTCTAGCATATATGTATTGTGACCTATTAAATAAGAGCGTCTGAGAGAAACTGCAAACAAACGGATTATACTATCTCCCGATCAAAGTTTTACGGAAAACGAGAGACGAATCAAGTGTATGAATTCTCCTAGAAGATTGCCTGAACACCAGTCACCAGATGATCTGGAGCGTGATTTACGAATGCGCTGCCCAGACACAGTGGTTATACTGTAACATAAGTGTTCCGTAAATTGCAGAAAAATTATTGCTATGGTGGTATGTGCTTTTTTGGCGTATAGCAAGCCTTCGAGTCAAACGTGCTTGAGTCGCAACCGGTGCGCGTATAGTCAGTGCCCTACAGTATCAATATAGAGGGGTTCGCGGGCAGTGTGTGCTGATTCGTTATTGTGCTGAAGCCTTCGACAGCCATGCTCTGTCACGCTGCTTGTCATTGTTTGCTTTATGAAGGTCATTTCGGCGCTTACACTCAGATAACTGCTCAACTGCAACGACAGGTATAATGGAGATTTGAAAGCCTATGAATGTAGAAATCCTATAGGTTGGTTTCGCAGTGCAAGAAACTATAGATCGTGTAGTGCCCGTGTATATTATCGTGTTTAGGGTTACTAGTTTAAGAGCCATTTAAGAAGGCAGGTTATTTGGCAATGTGGCTTTAGCTTATGGCCTGTGAGTTAGGGATGTCGTGTTAGCAAAGAGAGAGTCGTATCGGCGTCAGTAGACACCTAAAATGCTCTAGACCGTAGACAAAGATTAGACAAAATGTTTGTTGAAACATATAAAAACAGACAACTGTAACAGTGTTGCAAGGCAATTGCGCCCCTCGTCTTTGTATTCTAGATCTAGACAACACATTAATCACGTCAGCGCCGTACCCATAGAGCAGCAGACCCCCCTCAGGCACTTGGAGCGGTTTCAATAAAAATAGTATGCTAAATAAATAAGGGAACATCTATTTACTACCGAAAGTCTTCATCGTTTCTCTACTCTCCTTGCACCTAGTAATCTATTCGTCCGAAACCGTGTGCAAATGCTCCAACGACAGCAAACACACGCCCACCGAATGCACGCTGCTGCGCTGCTGCGCTGCTGCACGCTATGCACACTTACACATAAATATACTCTGAAGGAGAGTAGAGAAACATTAAGACTTTGGTAGTAAATAGATTTCGTATTTATTTAGCATTATATTTGATTGAAACGCTCCAAGTGCCTGTGAAAGCCCCCCTCACACCCGTCGCCCGCACACAAAGGTTCCATGGGTGACTCCATCTCCACCAATGCGTCCAGTTAACACTTGCTATTTTTATGTACTTCAGCGTCATTACGTAGCTTGTTTATCGGGGCAATGAACTATGGTTAATATATTGATTTCCCTAACTTATTTGTGTGGGAGTAGCCGCAAGAGATCAGACAGGCTAGTTAAGCATTCAATTGTCTCGTCTAGCAGCTTCACTGTGTAGAAAACATCAGTAACAATCTGGTAATACAGAACGAAAACTGACAACTCAGATTCTCAGTAATTTTAGGCAAAAGAATACGTAGGGTTTCGTGGACAGCAGTCAACACATTTGTTCTTCCTCTCTCTATCTCCCCCGTCTCCCCCCCTCTCTCTCCATATATATATCGTTCTTTCTCCCTCTCTCCCTCATTCTCTAGTAAAGTAAATTACGAGATACAAGGTTCAGAAAATGCATGGAATTTTACTATAAATGCATGATTTCTCATTGTGTGTGTCTCTCTCTCTTTTTCTTTTTCCGTCCTTCGTTCTCTGGTAAAGTAATGTAAGTTACGAGATACAAGAATAAGAAAATGCACGGAATTGCACTATAAATACATTCTTGAACTGATTGCGTATTCGTTGTAATAAAGTAAATAAACAATCTGTTGCATATGTATTTTAGAGACAGTAAAATTTGTATAACTATGGGAACATAACTTACTGATGTTTTATAAATTTCTGTGTCTCGCACATACATGGGCAACACATGTATATTGTTTACCTTCAACTCTCACGCTGTAACCCTCTGTATTTATGCTCCTATGTGCCCTCCGTGTGAAGGGGTCCAGCAATAATTGATGGTAGTGGATAGTGACAGTCAGGGTATTAACAACACTGAAGCCAGTCCGCTTCCATCAATGGTCGCTGACAATAACTGCCATGGTGAACTGTGAGACGTGTTAGTAGCAGGCGAAGTTCCATCAGAAATAACTTATTAGGAATTGATTCACTTACTCTGTGGTAATCTCTCTCCCACTATGTTTATGCGAGTGTTTGAGTTGATGGGAAAGAGGCTGCAAATGAACAGTTTGCGTGATTATTTTTCCAGATAATGGGAGAGAGCCCCGATTCAGGGATAGAAACTGTAGCACATCAGGTCTTGAATATCAAGATGAAAACAGTTTACCAGAAGGTGAGCAGACCTTACATGTGTCTTTAGCTCTTATTTCTCTATATATAATTATTTTATCATATACATACTGTTACATTATGATTATATTTGGTTACATGTATGGCTCGTAATGCTCAATCAACTTTTTCTGGGAGATGGCATTACATGTAGATTTTCATATTATTTCACCCTTACTGCGTGTGTCTGCTTAAATTAACTGTTATATCAGACTTGACTGTCGATTTACCTACTCAAATTCAATCATTATAAAAATTAGAATATCTCCTCCACTCATACGTAAAATGAAATTGTTTGACAAAATCATTATGTCTTGTGCTTGATGTGGTATATTTATACGAAGGCATTCTAAGTGTTGTATTAACCCATGCCCCTATAACCCGTTTGACAGTCCCTCGCAGTTTTTAGCTCATCTGACGTAGTCAGATGCATTTTGTAGAATCGCATGATTGTCCGTCCGTGCGTCCGTCCGTGCGTCAACAGTTGGGCATAAATCTTAACCGCTCGACGTACGGTCACGTTATTCGGGACGTCGGGGGGGATCGTGAAAAGGACTCGGGATGACAAATTTGGGGGTCAAAGGTCAAGATGTGTAAACACGGGGAATATTTCCCCCTTAACTTAAGGTATAGGAGGAAATACGGAATTGCGGCACAAATCTTAACGGCTCGACCTATGCTCTTAATATTCGGTGGTCACAGGTCAAAGGGCAGTGGGGAAAGGGAAAGGTCAGATATCAGACATTTTCTGAGGACATGGCCTAATGGACAGAGTGAAAAACTTTGAACTGCCTCAATGATGTCACAGCATTCTCATGTTCATGGCACATCCATAATCTAGAAAGCCAATAAGCATGGATAGCCGAACGGGTACAGTGCAGGCGTCACGGCTCAAAGGTCCTTGGATCGAATCCCATCAGATTTTTTATTATTTAACTGTTTTCTGTATTTTTCTATCTTTATCCATTTAACTTTTTTCCCAATTAACGCAAATATTTACATGATTTATTTACAACAATTTAATAACAACAAATAATTTTTAGAACTTTTTTTTTTTAATAGGGTTAGGGTTAGGGTCACAATGCACCATAAATCAGGAGTTTCAGGCATGCGATTTGTATCAACCAATGGGATTTGGGAGGTATGCAGAATGCAGAAGGTTGCGGAAATGATGTGTACGCAACTGCGTATCTGCATATCTGCGCCTAACAAAGGTGTCACTACGCACGACTTAAATGTTACGTTTATAACCGTAGCAACAGACCTCAGATGAGCCCAGACGCTCTGCGGCTCTTGTTCACTTCATATTTTTATGTGTTTTGCAGAAGTAGAAGATGCTCGGATATTAACGGAGTTGTTATCAAAAATTCAGCCCGTCAAGGTAAGTGTGCCACACTGCCACACACATTAGTGTCGCAGATGTGTCATTGAGAAATGTGAATGTGGTTTCGTGTGCGTGTGTACGTGCGTGCGTGCGTGCGTGCGTGAGTGTGTGTGTGCGTCTGGACTAGGACTCGCTGAGTGTTTGGGTGGAGGTGTAAAGCTAGTTTGTGCATGTGAAACAGCCATGCTGCATGTTTTATGCTTGGCAGGTGGTCGAGGGGAGTGCCAGGAGTGCCTTGATAAGGTGGAGTCACCCAGAGGACGACAGTGAAAAACTAAAAGACTACGATATTGATCCATTGTCAGACTACAAGTACAAACTCTTTCTGTCGGATAAAGGCAGGGATGGCAAATATCGCATCATCTACAGGTAAACATCATCTACAGGTAAACATCAGCTACAGGTAAACATCATCTACAGGTAAACATCTACTTCATTTTAATGATTCTACATATAGGCATTGGGGACAAGAATTCTGGCCCTGTTTGGTTTCAAATATGTATAAAACCTGTAGCTGAAGCATAAAACAGTTGCTACAGATAAGCGACATGTGTGGTATGTTAGTGTAGTGTGTGAGAACAGTTATGCACAGCGTAGAAAGTTATATGCCCACACTCATTAGCCATGCCGAGCATAAGAACATAATTGGGCAGCAGTGAAAAAACCATACACGGTGGGGGAAGGGTGGCTCCCAAGTCACATTGTTAGACTCTTAGTAATGCATTCCTTTTCCCTAACTGGTTCTTGGTTTTTACCACAACTGGTAAAAAAAAAATTGGGTGAATTGTTTTAATCTGCCTTACTGAACAGTCGAAAAAGGGAACCAAAACTTTGCGTCCTGCCTTGAACCGATATATAAGCTGAATAGCTTCCACGACCTTTATTTCACCTTTACCTTGACCTTGATCATATTTCTCTTCTGCTCTCTAACTCAGCCCCTAATTGACCTAGCGCGCCCAAACTTGGTATGCTTACACATCTTGGGGAGAAGGTCAGTCGCATACCAAAACCACCACTGCCCTTCACCTTAGTTTGACCTTCACCGTCGACTTACATTTCCTTTTCGGCCTCCTAGGGTAACCAGATTCCATATACTTGCACATCTGAGGCACACCAGTTGTCTAACAAACCTTTGTCTTTGTGACTTATTTAACTTTACCTGCGTTCTACGTCCTTACAGCGATATTCTATTCATACTAGATCACGGGGGATACATGTAGTTGGCGACAACTGCTCGTTTCTAGTTAACCATCATTTCATTATTGAAACGGTCCAAGTGCCTGTGCTACTACTGCTACTACTACTGCTGCTGATGCTACTGCTGCTACTGCTACTACTGCTACTACTACTACTGCTGATGCTACTACTGCTGCTACTACTGCTGCTACTGCTACTACTGCTACTA